GGGCGAATTTGGCGGCGGAAATGGGGGAGCACCCCGAGGGGTCGGGGAGCATCCGGTGCCGCAAACCTATTAGGAAGCCGTAGAGGGAGAAGAGAGTGAGCTTTGGCGGACCTCGATGGACAAAGAGATGCGGTCCGTGTTGGAGAACGGGACGTGGGAGCTCGTCGAAAACCCGGAAGAGGTGAAGCCGGTTCCCTTGAAGTGGGTTTACAAGATTAAGCAGGATGCCGCTGGGAACGTGAAGCGGTATGAGTCTCGGGTGGTGGCGAAAAGGTACTTGCAAAAGTAAGAAATTGACTTCGAGGAAGTCTACGCCCCAGTGAGCAAGCACACGACTTTGCGGGCGCTCCTAGCGGTGGTTGTGGATCGGAACTTGGAGTTGCACCAAGTGGACGTCAAGACGGCGTTCCTCAACGGTGAGCTCGAGGAGGAGATCTGCATGAAGCAACCGGAGGGGTACGAGCAAGGCGGGCCCAACGTGGTTTGCCACCTCAAGGGCATCTGTACGGGTTGCGCCAAGCGCCGCGTGCGCGGCACACGTGGTTGAAGGAGGAGCTCGGGAACTTTGAGTTCGTGGCAATCTTTGCGGATGCGGTGCTCTTTGTGGAAGTGGTGCACGGGGAGCGGATTTACCTTATCGTTTGGGTCGACGACATCCTCGTGGCGGCCTGGAGGGTGGAGCGGATTGCGAAGGTGAAAGCGCACTTGGCGGACAAGTTCGATGTGCGGGACTTGGGGAGGCGACGTACTTCCTCGCAATGGAGTTGGCGCGCGATCGGGTGGCGCGAAATTTGAAGCTCACCCAAAAGAAGCTTACCGAAGAGCTTGTTGCGCGACACGGATTGGCGCGCGCAAGGGCGCGCTCGGTCCCCCGTGGTGCGAGGGAGAAGTTGACGAGAGAGGGTGAGCCGCTTAACACCGCGAGAGTTCACTATAGCGAGCTCATTGGGAGCTTGCTCTACTTGAGTGTGTGCACGCGGCCTGACATTGCTCAGGCCGTGGGGGCATTGGCGCTCTACACAAGCGCGCCTACGGAGGCACATTGGGCGGCGGCTCTGGGGGTCGTGCGCTACTTGGCGGGGATCGAGGAGGACGGGATCACCTTTGGGGGAAGCGGTGAGGTCCTTAAGGCATTTTGCGACGCGGACTTTGCGGGGGACGTTGATACGAGGCGTTCCACAACCGGGTACGTCTCCCTCATGTACGGGGGAGCGGTGAGTTGGTCGAACTGTCTTCAGCCGACAGTGGCGGCATCGACGATGGCGGCGGAGTATATGAGTGCGGGGCAGGCAGTGAAGGAGGCGTTGTGGTTTCGCAAGTTGGCGGGAGACTTGGGGATGGACCTGAGCACGGTCGAATCTTCAGCAACTACCAAGGAGCAATACGGCTCCCGAAGCATCCGATCGCGTCGCAGCACATTGACGTGATTTATCACTTTGCGCGTGAGAGAGTGGCACAGAAGGAGGTCAAGTTTGCATACTGCCCGACGGAGGGAATGAAGGTGGACATCCTGACCAAGGCGCTGGCACCGGGGAAGTCCCCGAAGTGCGAGAGCGAGATAGGGATTGCGTAGGATACTTAGTGCGTGGGGTAGTGTTGAGATTCGGGCGTTACTTGAGTGAGTACGCCCTAATATCCTAGACAATTCGTAGTCGTCGATTGAGGCTTCGGTTGGCCGAGTATCGACCGTAGGATGGCAAGTTATTTGGTGCATTATTCACGCAATGTCGACCGTCCGATCGTGAGTCGACTCGAGTGATTTAGGAGCCCCGACCACTAGCGTGTAGTAGCCCCGACCTAGTAGTACAATACTACCGACCACCTCGGTGTAGTACTACCGACCACAAGTCCGAGTGGTACTTAGCCCATATAGCGAGTCGTATAGTGACCCGAGTGCTGTCATATAGTGACCCGGTCACTTGGATAGGACTTCATATACTTGAACCGACTAGTGCCGGGTAGAGGTGGACTAGGCTAGTAAGGCTAGGGTACACCTACCCACGGATGTGGAATGCCTTGGACATTGCCATGTAATGGATACTCATTTCTAGTAGTTGTGAACTTGAAAGGCGGTTGCTTTCAACAAGAGTGACCTTGATGGAAAGGAGTCCATATTGGATTGCCTCTTGTTTTACGTAGTAAAAAGGGCAAGTTATAAACTTCATGCCTCTTGAAACTGTACGACGTCATGTGCGCTTAGTGGGGAGACCAGTCGAAGGCATTCAACAGCGACTCGATGCGAAAACGTACAGTAACACCGAAACAATCTACACTCACGTTGTGCCACAGCTTTTGGACCGCTCCGCAGAGCGGAGCAGATGTGTGGATTATCATCGAAGCCGGCCGCGTTGCACCCGACAATAGGAACGTCATCCTTGTACTAATCGACGGTTGAGAGAGTGCCACGTCGCAATCAAATATCTGACAGGTACCCTAATCCAAGAACCTCGTAATTTGATATAAGTAATGCTATTGGGGAAGCCTGACATCAGTGCTTCTCTCGATCACCCTCTTTTTCATCGCACAAAGTTGCAACTCCTGGTCGGACGAAAGATGTTGGATTAAACAGTATCCTTGAGTGGTACCGTAGTGGTATACATTATGGTACTTCTGTATATGTTATGAGGAAGACTTTCCAAATATATCCCAAAATTTGCAAGTTCCTCGAAACATCGAGCATAGAAAACCTCGGGAACTCCGCCTGTCTTGGATTGAAAGTAGGTAGGTCTGGCAGTGTATGCTGCCAGTGAGAAAACTGCCGGGGGAAAAGAAGTGCGGTTTCCCCCTGTAGAGGCAAGCCCGGGTGCCCCTCCGAGGCAAATAAGCATGTGATTGAAGAGACTAGTGGGTGGTGGAAGCAGACCCGACCTAGGCTAGAGTACATCTTGTTGAAACTCATGGTAGGGAGTCGTAGTGTAATTGAGGTACTCGGCATCGGGTCTTATCGTGTTGTCCGGCACCCATGCTCATCACTCATTGATGGCAGCCATGCATTCTAAGAGGAACACACGAAGCGCCTCACAAAAGGCTTCCTTCTCTCAACAAGCTTCTCTTGAAATGATGTATCACATAACAGTTTCCACCACTATAAGTCTTATGGGTCTCTCCCGTTCCACTAGGCTCACTAGCCTACTAGGATCACTTGCCTAAGTCACACACTACTAGGCTCACTAGGTAGCTCACACCCACACTCAATCGTAGCCTTCGATATCCTCATCTACGGCTAAGACTGATGGCTGCTCCCAACCGCCTAACCTCCAAACCGCCGAACGCTTTATCTGCCTAACCGCCGTACGAACGACGGCGTTCACTACTTCAAACCCTGACTCGGGTCGAACCCCGACACACGGTGATTCGCCTGACTATGATCACCGAATTCTAACACATCTAGCTACGGGATTGGAGTGACCTTCGACTAATGTCATGTGATGGTTTTCATTCCAGGAGGTGCTTGAAGAACAGAAGGCGCTTTTTTGTGAAAGCGCTTATGTGTAAGGGTGTTTAGGCCCTAGCATGAGTGAACGATTTCAAAACACCACAAATCGCACTTGGAGAGCTTCATGGAGATCCGAAGGACCATCAAGACGCTCAATAAATGAGCAATTGAAGCACTGCTTTGAGAGAGGAGCTAAGCTCTTACAAAGGATGAAAACGAGTGTGGAGCTTTTCACACGCAAGTATCGGAAAAGTAAATACTCGTATATTTATCGTCAGTTAAACGGTTACAAACGAAATGCAAGTCGCATAATGTTGTGAGAAAGTTTGGGGACAAGGTTGCTTCCAGTCACGTTTCTAATATACCAAATCGCAATTTATCAAAGATTGCGAGTTCAATCCTTACACTTGGTGAAAGAAAGTTTGGATGATCCTCGGATGACCGTTGTATAGATCGTTTGAAATACATTCTACTTTTTCTTGATGCAACATATCATTTTGGCGTTGCAAAAGCAATTAGACAATAAAATTTAACAGGTGACAATGCTAGAAGGGATCTTGGTGTCGTTGCACGTCAGTCATAAATGAGGGCGGACACAACTTAAGATATTGTTGAATGCATTTTAAATGGATCTAGCACGCAAGAGGTTGCATAGGATGGTCTAATATAGTTTTGCCGCTGGTAGAAGGCAACTATTCGCGCCAATTGTCAATTGTTAGTAGCTTTGAAGCGCACCGCTCCACTGAGATACCGCTCGGTCGTTTTTCTCCCGACTGTGTGACTGTCGCTTGCGGAAGCAAGCGGGCACCTTTAGAGCCAGCCGGTGGTGGAACGATCTACCGTTGGCACAACAAGGGAAGATCGCACGAGTGTCTCGTTGTCCCAAAAAGTAAGAGCCCGCTCAAAATCTATTGGTTTCGTCGCTAGCAATAGTGAACATGATGCAAGTACGTTCTTTGCTCAACACAGGCCGGCACTGATTGCTAGCAAAATCAAAACTTGCTCTTCAATCCTCTGACAATTCCGACAATCTTGTCGGGTGCTAACATGTGTATTTACGAGCCTGACATGCAAACTACACCTGTTGAAGCTCAAGCTCATCAAAAAGGAGCCAAAGACCCTCATGGAGTCGCTGAAGAAGAGAAACAACCGATTCACGTCGTTGAAATCATTCACTCATGCTGTGACGAGTCGTTTGTAGAAACATTATGCACCGACCTCGGCTTAGTATCTTATTGCTTTTAGTGAATATCCTATACCGATCGGATTATGTCTTTTACGTGTTTGAATGGACGTGTTCCAGGTTGTATTCTGTTTCGGCTCCGTTCCGGTTTCGTGCCTGCTGTTCGTTTCCGGTTGCATGTGACTCGCTCATGCAGCTCGCTACATTACTTTGACAATCCGTGACACGCCAGTCTAATCATTGACCTTATTGTTGAGATACGGG